ATCAAAGTTGAGAGAAAACGTTTTTATTTTATTAAAATCAGGTTCAAGACTTCACAGAGAGCGATTCTAACGAAGTAAAACCTAATTTTGTTAAATAAAATTATAATTGAACCCCCAATATTTTATTGTGATAGCTTTTTTTTTTTTTGGGTCTAAGTTTTGGTTTTCATTTCATTAAACCGGAGGAACCGGTATAACTGATACAGAGAGAAGAGCCGATTTAGCAATTGCATCGGCCTCTTCGTTTTCAGATCTAGGGATAAACACAAACTAAATTCTAAGATGTAGAACTATTTTGGTGATGTCCTTTATGATCCCGTAGATTCCAATCTGGATTTTATCCTCTTTGAACAGGTTTCTTTGGGAATCCGATCCATTGTGAATTCAGTGATGTGCATCAACGACGCTTGGAGTAGTGCTTCTTTCATGGCCAAAGCCTCCGCTATCAACGGTGAGACAACTTGGTGCTCGATCTTGGCTCTTTACGCCATCGTTTTGCCATTGCGGTCCTTGATTACCCATCCCAATCCTGCATCTTTCCGATCTGATCTCCAAATTTGTAGTGATAGCTTTTTCTTACACTACAAATTCCAAAATATATTATTATTTAGCAAAAAAAATTCCAATATACAGTGCCTCCATGGAGATAAGAAAGCTTGGATCAACACTGATTTTTTTTGTTTGTTGCTCAATTCTAAAATATGTTATATGTAAATTTATGCATAAAAAATCTATATTTTATTTATTAAATCCAACAATATCTTATACAAAAAAACATTTATTTTTTTGCTTTTTATATAGATAACTGTGATTTAAAAAAAAAAAATCACAAATGAAAAACTTTAATAATAAGCAGCATAACATGAAAACAAAAAAAAATTGATGTGTGAAAATTAAATAATGATTTTAGAATTTTTAAAACTGTTAAATTCAACAAGTATGATTAGAGAAATTTAGAATTGAAACGTTTTTTACATGCTTTCATAGCTTTAAAAGCCAATTTACTAATCATCCACTAATGCAAATGAAACAATTTGTGTTGGACAAAGTAACGTTTCTAAAAATACCATAGATTTCATATATTTTTGTATCATTCAACCACTCAATTGTTCTCGGTTATTATAAGGTTAAAAAACCAACCAAATGGTTTGGAAGACCACTAAAATTGTGGCTAAGAACATATGATTTCTTAAAGAAATGTTCCCATTGTAAATTCTCGAAGGAAACTCCATAGTGCAGTGAACAATACATGATCTGTCAGTTGCAAGGTTTTTCCTGAAGAAATTAAATATTTCGTTTACTAGCTAATTAGAAGCTAAAGTTACAAAGTTGGGAATCCACACTTTATCGCTATGCATAGCATAGTTAATGACCATAAAGTGGTGATAATGATCGGAATAAACAAGTCTTACAAGAACCGGTTTGTTTTCACTTAAGTGTTTATCGATATCAAATATGATCGGAATAAACATGTCGTGTAGAGTAATATGACACAAATGTTTAAACCTTTTTTTTTTAGGAATTCGTGATTATGATAAGATTTTTAAAATTGATGAAGAATTTAGTAAACATGTTAAATCAGTAATATATTTATCTCAAACAATAATAATAATTTATTTGTCGTTTTCAATATTAGTTTATTAAAAACGTAACTCTTCAATTCACATAGGACAAAAATGACTTATCACATAAAAAAGGTTAGTTTTCAAAAAATAATAAAAATAGGGGTATTTTTCAAATTTATAGATATAAATAGGATATTTTTCAAAAAAAAATGTGTTTATTCGTATGTTAACGCGAGTCCTAATCTAGTTCTTTATAAAATTTAAACCGGGAATCAATTAGTATCATCCAAATCCAAGATCCACTACAGGTCAACCGAATATCGACTTATTTTTTCTTTTTCCTTTCAAAGCGAATATATATATACTAGAATAGGATCCGCTTTAATACGCGGATAAATGCAAAAAAAAATGAAATACAAATTTTAATTTTAATTAGTAATCCGTTGACTTTTAAAATATTATTTAACGTAGATTCTAAAACCAGTCGAAATTAATTTATATACTAATTCTCATGTTCTAATCCATGTCATGCAAATCCAAAAATATATATAGTAAGAATTTAAATCATATTCTTAATAACATAGAAATATATATATATATATATATATTTTAACTCTTTATGAATATTTATGAATTATATGATAGAAACAAGAAATACTATATAGTTAAATCAGAAAAAGTAAATTTTGTGTTAGTAATCTTATAAAAACTATAAATAATGTTGTGAACCATCACATAAATACATGGTTGATAATTGTATTTTACTAATGTCCTCATTTTATTTCTCATAGAGATTTATACTCGTCAAACTTTATACAATATTAACTTAATAGTTATATAATATTATTATTTTTTAACTTATATAAATATTCAATATATACATTTGGAAAGTACTAATGGCGTCATAACTCTATATTGATAAAATAAATATTCTTATATATATATATATTTTTTTTTTTTGCATGGTTGTGTATATCATTAAACTTTTAAATTGAAGTTTCTATAACCTTTCTAACTTTTTTGTTTTTTCCAATTTATATACCTTCTTTTTTTATCATTAGTCTTTTTATTTTTTTAATTGACATTTTTTTTATTTGTTTATTTTATAGCTTATGTCATGTCTATATTTCATCTTAATTTTTGTTTCTTAATTAGTATGGATAATATTAGAAATTTTACTTTTTATACTTTCCATTTTTATTTTTATTTTTTTAATTAATTTTAAGTTTTTACACATTCATCACTTGATCAATATTAGATACATGTCGTGATCTCGTAAATTATAATTTTGCTTACGTGTCATGTTTATATTAAAATGTATTGCGGTAAATACTTTTGATTTTAAAATTTATAACACCTATAATTTGACAGACGTAATCAGTGACTAAATTATGACTCGCACAGA